TTGTCTCCTCTGAGAATACCCTGCAAGTATTCTACAAATCCATATCAATGCATCCGGCACTGAAACAGATTTAAATTTTAAAAAGGAACAGCATAAAGATGGTATGGCATTTCCAGAGTAGTGTGCCTGATTTCCCATGCAACTGAACTATCCCTACCCAAAAATAAGTTCTACCAAGTTCGTTTTCATTTATTTAATACACATGCATTGGACTCTCACAAGAGCAAGACCACAATTGAAAATAATTTTTAAAAGATAAGGATCCATCGATCCAAATATCACACACAGCCGCAGCAGGGCAGAATGACTAGGAACTTGGCCACCAAAGGCCTTCTGAAGAGCAATGAGAAAACCTTTTTTTCTTAAGTAACAGCTACAACCCTGTCTTCTGAGATAATTCCTAGTCTTTGCAATTACAGCTAAACACTGGTCTTCACTGTGGATGTGATAGATAAAACTTCGAGCCTATCCCATAAACTGGAAGCGGTTGACACGCCTTGCTGGGCAGCTCAGTTCCAACAAATTGTGCGTCGGGCGGTTGGCACGCAGCACAATTTTAATCATGCTTCCTTGTCCCACTGATTTCGGAACTTGCTGTCAAGGAAGAGTGTCTTCAGCTGCAATGCCACACATACTTACCCAAAAGTGTGCCCCACTGGATTGGGCTACCCAACTACTTACTTTGGATCTAAACATAATTAAAAGCAGGTTCCTAACATATTGTTGTATTTTAAATAACAACTTCAAAATACACGTGTCTCATACGTGTATTTTTCACTAAGATATCTATATGCTTTTCCTTTCAAGATGCTCTCGCATAGTATGCATCCATACAAGATATTCAGACGAAAACTATGAGTGTCAGTTTTGTTGGTTTTACTGTACGAAGGAACAGAAAGTACCCAGTGACCATTCCGCAGAATCAATTTTGCAGAAGGCTTTGTGAGAATTTCCTTTCACAGTTTCCAACAAAACAAACAGCAGCCTCTCACTGCATACCTTGCATAAATAATACAAGGAAATGTTTAGTAATTCTTCCTCCACGATACAGCAATAAAACCTTCAGGATGCCACATGATGTTACCCAAAGTTAACTTTCCTTCAGCACATGGTTGGAAACAGTAGAACTTTATTGGGAGTAAACTGCAAATTAGGACAATGTATTCTGGATCAGGGGTGTCGAACTCATTTGTTATGAGGGCTGGACCTGACATAAATGAGACCTTGTTGGGCCAGGCCATGTGTGTCATAAAATGTGATGCCAGGTAGTGGAGATATAAACTTTATAAAGGACACAAAAACAAAGGGTTTTTTTTAACTTAAAAACATGATTAAAACAGTAGGACGCTTGAAATATTTTGTTTATTTAACAGTGTCTGATAACTTACATCTCTTGCTCTGAATTATTACATCAAAATGTCTGTGCTGTTGCAATCTTGAGTATGCTGTTCAGCTGTGTGTACCTGTAAGCTGCAAACCTACAGTGACACAGCAGCAGCAGAACTGGAAGAAGAAGCAGAAGTCAGCCAGTTCCACTGCAGGCCTGACAGAAGCCCTCCGGGGGCTTCATCTGGCTGCATGTTTGACACCCCAGCTCTGGGTCCTCTCTTAGCATGAGTTTATGTGAGAAATGTCACTACACAACCTTGGACATGAAACTACGGAACATTTGATTTTTACAAGCAATTATATGACTAAAGGCCTTACTTCCTTAATAATAAAACCAGCAGATCAGAAATACTCCCTTTGCAAGAGCATGAAATACTTCCCTCAAATCCCAGTTATCACAGGTGGGTGTTCCTGTAAAATGCCACAAACCCCAATCCTCAAATTAGCATATCAGAAACGTTCGGTCTCTATCACACTAAACCTTAACATGGCGCACTAAGACTCATGAGGTCCACTAAAGTAACCACAGGGTAATGTACTAACATAGAGTTAACATAGCAAGAATAGTTAATAGCCGGGACTGTCATGTTATACTTATAAATTGTACTTTTCCAACGTTTCCAATTATTTTCTTGTTGTAATCTATATCTCCCTGTTATGGCTATGTTTTATTGAGCTTTGTGCATTGTAAAAGAGTACAAAATAAAATATTAAAAGTCAAAAAAAAAGAAAAGAAAAAGAAATACTCCCTCTGCAGCTCCTGGAGAGCCACATTCACAATTCCCATTAACTAAAAGTCACGTTTACTTCAATCCCTACTATGAAGCCTGCATTTCAGGGATGCTTGTAGCATTTCCATTCCTTCAGCAGCAGCTTCTTCAAGGTGGGAACTAACTGCCAACCACAGTCCTCCATCAGGCAAGAGGCCTGCCTACTTTCCTAAAATATGGGACAGATGTCGCTTTGGGGGATAGTGCTCAGAAGAGCCACAGGTGGCTCCTGAGCCACTATCACTGCATTAGATTCTGGTCTCAGATCCAGGACAGGGAATTAAGAGACTGGGGACTCCACCTGATACTATTATTAGCCATTAATTAATTAATTTATAGCCTGCTCTCCCGAAGACCGGCTCAGAGCGGAACTTCAGCACATGGTTGGAAACAGCAGAGCTTTACTGGGAGTCAAGCACAGAACGGAATTGTTCTATCACAAAGAATGAGCTACATTATCACATCCCAAAATATTGTAATGAATAAAAGGGACCAGCATTAAAGAGAAGAGATTGGATTTATACCCCGCTCTTCACTACACAAAGGAGTCTCAGAGTGGCTTACAAACTCCTTTCCCTTCCCCTCCCCACAACAGACACTCTTGTGAGGTAGGTGGGGTTGAGAGAGCTCTGAGAAACCGCTGTTTTTCAAAAACAGCTGTGCCAGAACTATGGCTTGCTCAAGGTCATCCAGCCAGGTGCGAGTGGAGGAGTGGGGAATCAAACCCGGTTCTCCCAGATTAGAGTTCCCACACTTAACCACTACGCCAAACTGTTCCTTCCTAAATCACATATAAATCACATAAACACAGCACAACTGAGACACAGCAGTTTCCGTGACCTGTTGCTTTAAGAGGAGTGACAGATATCAAAATACACTTTTGTTGGAGGAGAAAAAAAATATCAGGAAGGAGTTAAGAAGCTAACCTTAGGGGGAACTTTTTAATATCTTATTAAGTGAAATACCTACCCCCTCCCAATTCTGTAGTCAATCACTGGAGTATCTTTGAATCACACACACACCCCATACACAGAGAGAAACATACAAAAATAAAATATATCACACTACTATTTTAACCAATTTGGATTTGTGTGTGTGTGCGTGCAAAAGAACAGGTAAAAGCTGGTTTTAGTGATCTTCAATATGTACCCCAAGAGAGACAGAGAGGGCTGAGAATTAAACAAGGAAGCTTTTGTAAATGGTGGAACTGAGTTGCACATCAAGACAACATTTAGAGACATTTTACACATTACAAAATTCATGCATACACAGGTCTTCCATGTGCCTAAATACTGCAAAATACACATAATGGGGAACCACTGCATCCACTAATCTACACATGATTTGCACACTCAAATTCTTATATGGGCTTTCCATGCTGGAATACAATATTCTTGAAACTCATGTAGAATAACTGCAAACAAGGCAACATTAATTAAAATTTCTCAAAAGAGACTGCCCAACAGAAAAGCAATTACGGTGGTCGTTACAGAAGTATGAGAAGGCAAAGTTGTGGAACTGTGGAGAAAACACTTTCAAACTTGATTTCAGTTGGAGGGCTTATTTTAATAATAAAGAAATACCAGAACTGTGGGTTCCGATCCAAAAAAGTTCAAATTCTAGAAAAAAAACAAGCAGAAACATGGGGCGAACTCACAGCCAACTTGGAAATCCAGTTACTCAACACAGATTCTTCAGTGACAGAGCAAGCCAGTCTTCACATGCCCGGGAGCCCTTTTTCTCAGGTACTGCTTCACACATTCCCGAGACTTCTGGTATTCAAGATAATTCCTGGAGTTTAACTACACCACTGTCAGGAATCCCAAATAACCAGCGCTGCCCTTGACACCTAGAGACCTGCAAACCTCAAGGAGTTTCAGCTGTTCGTGAAGAGGTTTAGAAAACAAAACGAACTGTGCAATAGGTTACACCTTCTAAAGTCACCGAAGCCAGCGGGTTTAGGAGGGTGCAACCCTGTTTAGGATTGCACTGCAAAACAAGAGACAGCCAGCTCAGGCTGGACCGGCTGTACCAATGCTCCCTCTAAGCTGTTAAGTCCTGCGAGCAAAGATTCTACTTTGTGAGCTTACTGGCGTTAAAAGTCCTGAGCGAACCATTTGGCTACTGTATAAATCAGTTTGCTCTGGACTCCCTCTAATCTGAATTAGTCTGAGCTAGCTCACACTCACTCAGCTTAGAGGGAACACTGGACCGGAGTCACTCTGTATATAACAGGCAGGCCCGTAGCTAACAGTCGTGGGGGTCGCGCCGCCGGGGGTTTCAGGGAGCGACCTCAGCAGGGCGGCTCCAGCCAGTGCGCGGGGGAGGGGGCGCTCTCCCTGCCGCCGACATCTTCTCCGGCGGAACAGACCGCCGTTCTCTGGGAAGGGGGATCGGTGCTGCCTACTCAGCTTAGAGGGAAAACTGGACCGGAGTCACTCTGTATATAGGAGGTGGGCCCCCCCCCCCCTTTCTCCCCATGATAAGAGAAGTTTAGCTTATGCAAGTCAGGCTAACAGTTCTTGAACTCCGGCACGTTAGACGACAGGGGGGGCAGACCCAAGAATAAATAAATGCAATGTTATTATTTTTTAGAGCCACGCCTAGGAAGCTGGTGGTGGACGGGAAAGCCACAGCGGAGCTTTTTGGGGGGGGGGGGGCCTCGAAGGCGGCAGGGAAACGAGCGTGGAGAGGCTGCGTGCAAAGACTGGCCCTGAGCTGCGAGCGGGGCCCGGGGAGAGAGCCCGCCGCCTGGTCCCCCTCGCTGCAAGTTCTCCTTTGCAAACTCCCGCCCGCAAGAAATAAAAAGGAAGCCTTCGGAGAAGCCTCGTCCGCACCCACCGTGCGCCAGACGGTAGCCGGCCCGGGCAGACGCCGCCGCCGGGAGAGGAGACGCGCTGGGATGGGCGAGGAGCCGCGTGGCTGGTGGGAGAGAAGGCATCTTCCTAATCCCCCGGCTCCTCCGCCGTCGGGCACGGCGGCGCTTCTGCTCCGGCGGCCTCCACGTTCACGGCCCTCCTCCGCCTCCTCCCAGTCCTGCAGGCCGGGCGCGGTCCCGCAGAGCTCCGCCTCTTGCTCTCGCCGGCGGCCAGCCCACGGGGGGCGGAGGGCGGCTGGCTGCTCTTGGGCAAGCGGAGGGATGAGCTGGCGCCGTGATCCGAGGGGGATGCAGCGGCGGCGGCTCTGAGCCTGGGAGAAAGTTCAGGCCGCGGGACTCCCTTGCTTTGCCTGCGTCCAGATGGAGGCGGAAGAGCTTTGGCGTGCCTGCACCAATGTTCCCTCTAAGCTGTGGAGTCTTGTGAGCAAAAATGCCACTTTGTGAGCTACTGGCGTTAAAGTTGTGAGCGAGCAATTCGGCTGCTGCATAAATCAGTTTGCTCTGGAGCCATCCTTCCTGAGCGGAGACAAAAATGTGTGAGCCGGAGGCTCAAAAACTGTGAGCTGGCTCATACTAACCCAGCTTAGAGGGAACACTGGCCTGCACCCTTCTGCAGATACACGCCTGCACACTGGAGCTTAGGCTTTAGAGAAGACTTCGGCTTGCTTCCGCGCTGTCATTTTTGTCCCTCGTTTCTCCCTCTTGCTTCAGGGTTTCCCCCTCCCAATGTGTTTTGCGCTCTCTCTATTAGTCCCAGAGGGATCAAAAACACATGTGGAAAGGGCAAAGCAATGGGGGGGGGGGGAGATCGGATTTATACCCCGCCCTTCACTACTCAAGGGAGCTGCGGTGGCTCAAGTGGTTAAGACGCTGAACTGCAGGCGGTGGAAGGTTTAGTAGTTCAGCAGTTCGAGACCCGGGTGCCGCATGATGGAGTGAGCTCCCGTCTCTAGTTCCAGCTTCTGCCAACCTAGCAGTTCGAAAGCAAGAAATTCCATGTAGATAAATAGGTACCACTTCGGTGGGAAGGGAACAGCGTTCTGTGCGCCTTGGTGTTTAGTCATGCCGGCCACATGACCACGGAAACGTCTTTGGACAGCGCTGGCTCTTTGGCTTGGAAATGGAGATGAGCACCGCAACCCTACAGTCAGATTCGACTGGCTTTCGAGCAAGGGAACCTTTACCTTTTCACTACTCAAAGGAGTCTCAGAGCAACTTACAAGCTCATTTCCCTCCCCACAGTGTTCCCTCTAAGCTGAGTTAGTGTGAGCTAGCTCACAGTTTTTTAACCTCCGGCTCACCCATTTTTGACTTAGCTCAGAAGGAGGGCTCCAGAGCAAACTAATCTATGCAGCAGCCAAATCGCTTGCTCACAACTTGAATGCCAGTAGCTCACAAAGTAGAATTTTTGCTCACAAGACTCGACAGCTTAGAGGGAGCATTGCCTGTGAGGTAGGTGGGGTTGAAGGAGCTCTGACCGAAACGGCTCTTTTTTCAAGAACAGCTCTGACAGGACTACGGCTTGCCCAAGGTCATCCTGCAGCTGCAAGTGGAAGAGTGGGGAATCAAACCCGGTTCACCCAGATTAGAGTCCGCACACTTAACCACTGCCCCAAACTCGCTCTCAAATGAGTGACAAAAATGACAGTGCAGCAAGTGGCCGTTGTTGGTATGAAAGGTGCCATTGGACGCGGATTTTGTTCTCTTGCTTGTTTCAGAACAATACGGCGACCCGCCTGAGACCCTTGTGACCGCCTTCTCAGTGCTGTAAGCAGGGCCACACGCCTTGACTGCAGTGACCTCGGAAGGGTGTAATTCTGCTTTGGGACATGGCACTGTTTGGCTTTCTGTCAAGAGAAGAAGGGCTAAAAGCCGCAGCCCCGTTTGGGTACCCCCTTTGGGTACCTTTCTATTCCCCGGCCTAAGCAGCATCCCAAGATAGACTTTGAAGCCACACAGATTCCTTGTGGTTTTATAAGGGATCATAGAATCACAGAGTTGGAAGGGGCCATACAGGCCATCTAGTCCAACCTCCTGTTCAGTGCAGGATCAGCCTAGACTAGAGCATCCCTAAGAACATAAGAGAAGCCAATGTTGGATCAGGCCAACGGCCCATCCAGTCCAACACTCTGTCACACAGTGGCCAAAAATACCAGGTGCCATCAGGAGGTCCAGCAGTGGAGCCAGGACACTAGAAGCCCTCCTTGACAAGTGTTTGTCCAGTCACTGCTTAAAGACTGCCAGTGAGGGGGAGCTCAGTTCCTCCCTAGGCAGAGCTGATTCCACTGCTGCACAACTCACTGTAAAAAAGCTTTTCCCAATATCCAGCTGGTACCTTCCCACCCTTAATTTAAATTCATTATTGCAAGTCCTATCCTGTGCGAGGGCTTTAGTGGCTCAAGTGGTTAAGATGCTGAGCTGCAGGCTGTGGAAGGTCGGTAGTTCAGCAGTTCGAGACCCGAGTTCCACATGACGGAGTGAGCTCCCGTCTCTGGTCCCAGCTCCTGCCAACCTAGCAGTTTGAAAGCAAGAAATTGCAAGTAGATAAATAGGTACCACTTCAGTGGGAAGGTAACAGCGTTCCGTGCGCCTCAGCATCAGTGTTCCCTCTAAGCTGAGTTAGTGTGAGCTAGCTCACAGTTTCTTAGCCTCCGGCTCAGACATTTTTTGTCTCGGCTCAGGAAGGATGGCTCCAGAGCAAACTCATTTATGCAGCAGCCAAATCGCTCACTCACGACTTTCATGCCAGTAGCTCACAAAGTAGAATTTTTGCTCACAAGACTCCACAGCTTAGAGGGAACATTGCTCAGCATCTAGTCATGCCGGCCACATGACCACGGAAACGTCTTTGGACAGCGTTGGCTCTTTGGCTTGGAAACGGAAATGAACACCACATCCCTAGAGTCGGATTCCTTTACCTATCCTCTGCTGCCAGCAGGGACAGCTCCCTGCCCTCCTCTAAGTGACAGCCCTTCAATACTTAAAGAGAGCAATCATGTCCCCCCTCAACCTCTTCTCCAGATTAAACATTCCCAAGTCCCTCAGTCTTTCCTCATAGGGCTTGGTTTCTCATCATTTGAGCAAGAGTTGGTCTGAAAGCTTTCTCTCTGCTGTGTGATATTAAGATGGCTGGTTCGCAGAAGCAAAGGGGCCTCGTGCTGTGATCCTGCAGTGCCAGAGCATGGGGGTGTGAGCTAGAGTGAAATAAAACCAAAGTCCAAGTGGCAATTTATTTCAATATGGGCTTTCGTTAGTCGCCACTCGCTTCTTCTGATAGGACTCAAGAAAGCCATCAAAATAACCTTCGCTAGTGTTGTTGGTGACACTCGACTTCGTTTTTTATTGTGTTGTGACAGACTTTATGGCTACCCCTTTACAATCATCATGAACTAAGGTGGCCATCTAATAGAAGAGGGATAAGAACCATATGTCAGACAAATGTTGGAAGTGTAAAAATGCAGAGGGCTCGTTTTATCATATGTGGTGGACATGTGAAAAGGCAAAAATGTTTTGGGCTGAGATACATGCAGAGATGGAACAAACTGTGAAATGTAAGTTCAAGAAAGAACCGGAAATACTACTTTTGGGACTTAAAATGGAAGAAGTCAATATGGCAAGAAGGACACTGATGTGGTATATGATAACGACTGCCAGAATGACATATGCTCAATGTTGGAAACAAGATAAGATCCCTGAAATTGGGGAATGGATCAAAAAATTACTTTTTATGGTTGAAATGGATAAAATGACAAGGAAACTTAATAATTTGGAAGCAGGAGAATTTTTCGCAGACTGGAAAGACTTTAAAGACTATTTGGAGAAATACTGGGATGTAAAGGACAATTTACTTTGCTTTGAGAGTTATTAAAGGATAATAGAAAATAGATAAATGTATAAGAATAACAGTTGAAGGATAAGTTACCGATGGATGTGAATAAGGAGAAAGGGAGGTATGAAGAAAATTTAAGAAATGGGCTGGAGGTTGGAGCACTGTGGGAAGCCGAGAAGGGGGGGAGGGAGGAGGGAAGGATATATAATTGCATAAGTTTTGATATATGTTTGAACTTTTTTATTATATCCTAATAAATTGTTTTGGGGAAAAAAAGAAGAAGAGGGATAAGAACCAGCAAGAAAGGGGACAACACTTGAACAGAAGTTTGCGTTTGCCGATCTGCAAGCTTACACAGAATTTATTGTAATTTAAATAAAAATGCAAGTCTCCCTAGTGCCAGCTTTGTCTTCTCTTCACGCGCTAACTGTGCATGGGAAATTTTTCAAGGACCCTTCTTTTCTTTGCAAAATGCAAAACATTATACATACACGGTTACCATATTTTGAAAAGCAAAAAAGAGGACATATTTTCCGACTGACTACTTCAAGCAAGTGAGCACTATGACAAGTCTCATTCTAAACACCACTACTATTTAAGCGGTGATAATTGCTACTAAGAATATTCCTAACCTTGCAACCCAAAAAGAGGACATTTTCATCAGTCTTTTAAAAGGAGCCCAAAAGAGGGCGGACACAAAGAAAAGAGGACCTGGTAACCCTATTATATGATGTTGGGCAATGTCATCTCATCAGTTCCACTTGGTTATCTGTCCCCAATCAATGCTGCTACTACTGCATGGAGTCTCAGAGCAGTGTACAAACCCCTTTCCCTTCCCCTCCCCACAACAGACACCCTGTGAGGCAGGTGGGGCTGAGAGAGCTCTGACACAAACTCTTCTTTTTCAAGGACAGCTGTGCCAGAGCTTGTGACTGACCCAAGGTCACATCAGCAGGTGCAAGTGGAGGAGTGGGGAATCAAACCCGGTTCTCCCAGATCAGAGTCCGCACACTTAACCACTACACCAAACTGGCTCTCATTTGGGCACAGGGGGGAGGATAGGGGGGAGGATAGGGAAGCTCTCCTTTATTATTATTTTCCTCTGTTTCCGTCACACTCTGCACGGTCATTTTTAACTAAAAGGATTCTGTGACAAGGATATTTTGGGAGGAAAGAACTGGGGGGCAATGTAATTTCAGTGGTATTACCGAAGTGCAGAGTGAGTAGATCATTCTGTTTTTGCTGAGTGCTCAAGTCCATTTGGAGCTGCAGTGGCTCAAGTGGTTAAGACGCTGACCTACAGGCTGTGGAAGGT